ATACCGCTAATACTACCACTACTCCTAGTGTACTATTACTACTATTACTACTACTACTACTACTATTACTACTACTACGACTACTATTATTACTACTACGAGTAGTACTCCTTCCACCCCGACTACTCCAACATCTCCTACTCCAGCCATTCCTATATTCATTACTGCTACTGTTACTACTACTACTACTACTACTACTACTACTACTACTAGAACTACTAGAACTACTAGAACTACTACTACTACTACTGCTGCTACTACTACTACTACTGCTACTACTACTACTACTACTACCACCACTACTACTACTACTACTACTACTACTACTACTACTACCTTTACTACTACTACTACTACTACTACTACTACTACTACTACTATTACTACTACTACTATGGTTACTACTGCTACTACTACTACTACTACTACTACTACTTCTTCTTCTTCTACTTCTACTTCTACCACTACTACTGCTACGAATACGAATGCAGGCCGTGTCGGCTTTGTATAGAATCCCATACAGGGCGTGTAGGCTCTGTATAGGATCCCGTACAGGCCGTGTAGACGTTGTATAGGCTCCCATACAGGGCGTGCAGGCTCTGTGTTGGATCCCACACAGGGCGTGTAGGCTCTGTACAAGATCCCACACAAGCCGTGTAGGCTCTGCATAGGATCCCGAACAGGGCGTGTAGGTTCTGTATAGGATCCCAAACAGGGCGTGTAGACTTTGTAAAGGATCCCATACAGGCCGTGCAGGCTCTGTACAGGATCCCACAGGCCGTGTAGGCTCTGTATAGGATCCCGTACAGGGCGTGTAGGCTCTGTTAGGGTCCCGAACACGCCGTGTATGCTCTGTATAGGATCCCATACAGGGCGTGTAGGCTCTGTATAGGTCCCCAAGCAGGCCGTGTAGGCTCTGTATAGGATCCCACACCGGGCGTGTAGGCTCTGTATAGGATCCCACACATGGCGTGTAGGTTCCGTATCGGATCCCATACAGGCCGTGTGTGCTCTGTATAGGATCCCATACAGGGCGTGTAGGCTCTGTAAAGGATCTTACACAGGGCGTGTAGGCTCTGTACAGGAGCCCATACAGGGCGTGTAGGCTCTCAGGGCGTTTAGGCTCTGAGTAGGGTCCCATACATGCCGTGTAGGCTCTTTATAGGATCCCACATAGGGCGTGTAGACTCTGCATAGGACCCCATCGAGGGCGTGTGGGCTCTGTGCAGGATCCGATACAGGGCGTGTAGGCTCTGTAAAGGATCCCATACAGGCCGTGTATGCCCCGTATAGGATTCCGCACAGGCCGTGTAGGCGCTGTATAGGATCCCTTACAGGCCGTGCACGCTGTGTATAGGATCCGATACAGGGCGTGTAGGCTCTGTATTGGTTCCCACACAGGCCGTGTAGGCTTTGAATCGGATCCCACACAGGGCGTGTATGTTCTGTATAGAATCCCATACAGGCCGTGTGTGCTCTGTTTAGGATCCCATACAGGCCCCGCAGGCTCTGTAAAGGATCTTACACAGGGCTTGTAGGCTTTGTACAGGAGCCCATACAGGGCGTGTAGGCTTTGCATAGGATCCCAAGCAGGTGTGTGCTCTGTGTAGGATCCCACACACGGCGTGTGGGCTCTGTATAGGATCCCACACAGGCCGTGTAGGCTCTGTATAGGATCCCTTACATGGCGCGCAGGCTCTGTGTAGAGTCCCATACAGGGCGTGTAGGCTCTGTGCAGAATCCGATACAGGGCGTGTAGGCTCTGTATAGGATCCCACACAGGCCGTGTAGGCTCTGTATAGGATCCCGTACACGCCGTGTAGGCTCTGTATAGGATTCCATACAGGGCCTGTGGGCTGTGTATAGGATCCTAGGAATCCCCAGGGATCCCCTAGCGATTCCCTACGGATTCCCCAGGGATTCCCAGGATTCCGTATGGATTCCGAAGGATGCCCGAAGGTCGCTTCGCTGGTGCGCACATCGTTTCCAGTCGCAGGAATACGTGGACGTGCGTAAGGGTGGTCGGATTCCGTGGAGATCCTATAGGATCCCGTAGGGATTCTATGGAACTGGTGTTGGTGTTGGTGTTGGTGCTGGGGAAGGAGGGAGGGGTAGGGGGTCCACGGGTCGTCAGTCCACTTGTTCGCCCAGTGTGTGAAGGCGTGGACTGTCGGGCCGTGGACGGGTGGGCAGTGCACGTGTCGACCTCGCTGTTGTTGTTGTTGTTGTTGTTGCTGTTGAACTCTCACTTCCGAACAACAATTATTGTTGATCCCCCCGTCCGGTGCACATTGTTTTTTTCCGATTGTAGTGCCTTTCCCGGGGCTCGCACTTGGTTTTTTACCAAGGAAAGTCTTGAGCGTCAAACTGTGTCGTTGGCCCCCGGTTTACAACAACAACGGCTCCCGCCTGATTTTTCCCAACAAATTATTTAAGAATCGCGCTCTTGCTTTGGACTTCCTTGCAATTTACCACCGGATCGCGGCTCCCGCTTGATATTTCCTCACAATGTATTGAAGAATCGCACTCTCGCTTGGGACTTCCTCGCAATTTACCACCGAGTCGCGGCTCCCGCCTGATATTTCCTTACAATTCATTCAGATGCCGCTCTTCGACACTCAGGAATGGCGCTCCCGCTGCATATTGCCTGGCGGTTCAAGCAGAATTTACGCTTCAACGACCCGCCCGCTCGACCCGCCCGTCTGGGCCTGCCCGCCCGACCAGCCTGTTAGGGACTGCAGTCGCCGCTCGCTGCCCTTCGCTGCCTGCGATGCCCCTCGCTGCCCGTACTGGTTCCGCGGTCGCCTTCGCTTGCTGCCCTTCGTGGCCCTTATGCTGCCGTCAGTGGCACCGTCGCTGCCCATTGTGGCCCCGCATTATATGCCCTTCGTGGCTCCCGCTCGCAGTCGCCCGTCGTGACCCCATACGCATGCCCTTCGTAGCCCCGCTGTCGCCCTTCGTGGCCCTCTCGCTGCCCTTCGTGGCCCCTTCGCTGCCCTCAGTGGCCCCGCTGTCGCCCTTTTGTGGCCCCATAGAAGAATGCCCTTCGTTTCGTTTTCAAGGGCTTCACCAACCACACGTGGCAGGGAAATAATATACCCCCCAAAAGGGGGTACGATCGAAGACGAAGAGGGCGGGTATCCAGGGTTTGGGATTTGCATATTGGATGACACGCGAGCAGATCAGAGCGAACAGTTTTTAACATGATTGTTGTTGCTGTTGAATGTTAATTACTAAACATTTGTTATGGTTGGACCCCCCCAGGCGCCCTGGTACTCTCGCCTCGACGCCGGCTACTTTTCATAAACAATGACGTTAACGCTCGAGCGGTTTGGGGGGGCGCCAAAACGGGCCCCTCAACAACACCAACGCTCCCGCTCGAAACTTCTTGTTTTTGCCCAGAGCCAGTGCTCTTGCTCGCCGCCGAAAACCGCCGCCCCAACAAAACCAACGCTCCCGCTCGAGACTTCTTCCCCTTTTACCTTGGACTGGCGCGCTACCCTGTCTCTCATCGGCGCCGCCCCCAGCAAGAACAACGCTCTCGCTCGAGACCTCCTCTTTTTTTACTCAGAGCCAGTGCTTTTGCTCGCCGCCGAAAACCGCCGCCCCAACAAAACCAGCGTTCCCGCCCGAGAGTTCCTCCCGTTTTACTCTGGACTGGCGCCCGACTCTCTTTTGAATTGGCGCCGCCCCCAGCAAGAACAACGCTCCCGCTCGAGACCTCCTCTTTTTTTAGTCAGAGTCGGTGCTGTTCCTCGCTGCCGAAAACCGCCGCCCCAACAAAACCAGCGCTCCCGCCCGAGACTTCCTTCTGTTCCTTTTATTTGTCACTCAGAGCCGGTGCTTTTGCTCGCCGCCGAAAACCGCCGCCCCAACAAAACCAGCGTTCCCGCCCGAGAGGTCCTCCCGTTTAACTCTGGACTGGCGCCCAACTCTCTTTTGAATTGGCGCCGGCCCCAGCAAGAACAACGCTCCCGCTCGAGACATTTTTTTTTTGTTTTTCTCAGAGCCGGTGCTTTCGCTCGCCGCCGAAAACCGCCGCCCCAACAGAACCAGCGCTCCCGCCCGAGAGTTCCTCCCGTTTTACGCAGGACTGGCGCCCAATTCTCTTTTGAATTGGCGCCGGCCCCAGCAAGAACAACGCTCCCGCTCGAGGTTTCCTCCCTTTTTCCCGAAAGCGGTGCTGTTCCTCGCCCTTCGACAGCCCGCGTCCCGACAAGACCGCGGCTCCCGCCCGAGGCTTGTCCCCCTCTTACGCAAGGCGGTGTTCCTCCTCGCCGCCGGCAACCGCCGCCCCAACAGAACCAGCGCTCCCGCTCGAGACTTCGTTTTGTTTCACGCTGGACCAGCGCCCTACTCTCTTCTGCAGTGGCGCCGCTCCCAGCCACAGCGGCACTCCTGCTCGAGATCGCCTCCCTGTCTATTCAGGGCCAGGTCCTTGCCTCGCCACCGACAGCCCCCATCCCCACCAAGCCAATCCGGTCGCTCGATAAGGGGCTCCACTGGCGGTCTTTCATCGGCGCAGCAGGGCGCGGGCATGTGTTTTCGAGGCGGGATCTGTTGAAATTCCTCGGAGGATGTGTTTGCAAAACCTCATTGGGCGGGAAATCTGGGAATGGAAATAACGGACCCCCGCGATAGAACAATAATCCCCCCATGGTGGGGATGGTTATCATGATGGTCGCATGCTGCGTGTGTAAGCATCGCGCATGAGGGGAAACTGATTGTTGTTGCTGCTGTTAGTTTTGTTTTTGTTATCGTTGCTGGGGGTATTGTTGCTGTTGTGATGGTTGTGGTTGTTGTGGTTGTTGTTGATGAGCAGTAGAAGGAAGAGGAGGAGGAGGAGGAGGAGGAGGAGGAGGAGGAGGATGAGGAGGAGGAGGAGGAGGACGAGGACGAGGAGGACGAGGCGTCGGAGTAGGAGGTGGAGGGTGGAGGGTGAAGGCATGGAAGGGCGACAGGTCGCCGAGTCAGCCTGTCCGCGCGCTCCCCCTCTCCAGGCAAGGACAGCGGGGCCACCAAGAAGAGCGAGGCCGCCTGGTCGGAGCGCGCGCGCGCGGGCAGCGTACGTCGACGTCGACGTCGTCGTCGTTGTCGTCGTTGTCGTCGTCGGCGTCGTCGGCGTCGTCGTTGGCGGCGCCGGCGTCGGCGTCGTCGTCGTCGTCGGCCGTGTGCTCGCCCTCGCCGTCGCCTCGGTTGCTCCCCCGCCGTGCCGCGCTCGTCCTCCCGCCTGCCGCCCCGTCCCCCTCCCCCGGGGGAGGGGGACGGGGCAGTAGGCGGGAGCTGGGGAGCACCAAGTCGCGACGGCCGGTTTTTCGACGTCTTGGGCCTCTGGGTACCGCCTCCTGGTTCCAGGCTCAGCAGCAAAATGTTCGGGGCGACGAGCAGTGGCCGGGGAGGCTGTCAAGATCCCATGGGCTCCCGGCTTGGCTCCCCGTAGTTTGGCTCTGGCCCGGGTCTCCTGCTCCGGAGCCGAAGCTGACGACCAGCTCGGAGCGCACGGTGCCAGTGGCCGCCGGCCCATGCTGCCACCGTGCTCGGGTCGAGGCTTTTCGAGGCCCCTTTTCGGGGGAGCGTAAGACCCGGGTTTGCCAGGACTCGGGTTCGCCATCGTTTTTTGACGACCGCGCCTCGGATTTTGACGAGGAGGAGTTTCGTGGGATGTCTGCAGCGGGAGGCCTCGTCAAAATGCAGGCTCGGCCTCGTCATTTTTTGACGACCTCGTCGGGGATTTCCGAGTCCCCCGTACCCGGGTCTTACGTCTCCCCGATATTTGGGAGGCTTTTCGAGGCCCCCGAGGCTGGCTTGGGGGGGGCCTCCACGGGTGCCTCGTCGGGGTCCCCCACGGGGCCCCCCACGTGGACCCTCTCCGTCGGAGGCCTCCGCCCTGCTCCCTCCCACGCGGCCGCCCTCTTCTCGACGCGCCCCGCCAGACCATACTCTGGGTGAGATATTCTTCGAGGGGTGGGCGACCAAACCTTCCGACGGAGCTTGCCCATCTCCCACCCCTTTCTCCTCCTCCTCCTCCTCCTCCTCCTCCTCCTCCTCCTCCTCCTCCAACCCCCCCTCCACCCGTTCCGACAGCACGTGCCCAACCCCCTCAGCGGATCGAAGGGAGGGGCGATTATTGCCCCATCCAGAGTGGACGCGCTTGCGATCGCCACCGCGCCAGACCAACAGTTGGAGGAGTCTTGTGCCCATTTTGCGTTTGAGTCTTCCAGCGGCCCGGCGTCGATGCATTTTTCTGTCGGAGGGAGCGGATTTCGGGGCTACCCAGGGCCGTCTTGGAGGTACCCAAGGCCGTCTCGACACTCTCTGGGACTGTCGTGGCGCTCTGTTTGGGCTCTCTCTGTAGGGCTTGTCGGAGGCTATGGCGGCCCCTGGCGTGCGTTGGTCCCCCCCTCCGCCATCCCCCTTTCTCGCCCTCCTTACACAAGATTTGCGACCACCCTGGGGGAGGGGGACCGGGGGAGGGGGGAAAACCAAGTGTCTTACACGCTCCTTCACCCCCCAGCGAGCGGGGGTCTGCGAACCCTCCTGAGGCTCTCTTGGGAGTGCTCTTGAAGCTCTCTGCCCTCAAGACGATTTTACAACATGTAGTATTTGGGACTCTCTTAAATCGGGGGAGCGTAAGACCCGGGTTTGCCAGGACTCGGGTTCGCCATCGTTTGTTGACGACCGCGACTCATATTTTGACGAGTAGAAGTTTCGTGGGATGTCTGCAGCGGGAGGCCTCGTCAAAATGCAGGCTCGGCCTCGTCATTTTTTTGACGACCTCGTCGAGGATTTCCGAGTCCCCCGTACCCGGGTCTTACGTCTCCCCGATCTTAAACCTGGTGGCGCTCCGTTCGGCGCCTTGCGGCACGGAGGCGGCTCCGAGCGGCGAGCGCAGGGCTCGCGTTTGGGGGACCGCGGGGCGTGCGGAGTCGGTAAGAGCGTGCCGAGAGCAGAACCGCATGGCGTGTGCTCCATTCGGTTCCGATGTGCTCCTCGCCTGTCCCGACTCAGGAGGGGAAAAACACACACAGACACAATTAATCCTCGATTCCCAGGAAAATATGGGAAAATATGGGAAGTGGGGGGGAAGACAGAAACCCAGAAAATATAGGAAAATATGGGGAATCTTTTTATTTGTGTGTATTTATTTGTGTGTCCCAGTTCCCCTTCACCGACTGCGTCTTCGATCCAAGTCGCCGCTGACAACAGAAATGCAGTGGTACGTGAGATACGTCTGCGCGTGGACCATCCAGACGCTGTGCACACGCCTGATATCTTGGCGCAGAATCGCAACATGTAGTTGCCATGATGCAATGATTCGTGACTGGCTCTGTTGTTGTGGAGAGAGAGAGACACACACATCGCAGACCATCTATGAATCACATGGGGGCCATGGTAGGATGGGGAGGGCGTTGAGGAGCGGAGTGGCGGCGAACAACGACCGAGGGACGATGATGCTGTTGATGATGCTGATGCTGATGGTAATGATGATAGTGATGATGATGCTGATGATGACGACGATGATGACGATGATGGTGATGCTGATACTGATGATGATGATGATGGTGACGAAGCCGACGCTGACAATGATGCTGCTGCTAATTATAATGCTGATGATGTTGATGATGATGTTGATGCTGATGATGATTATGACCATGATGATGATGATGATGATGATGATGATGCTGCTGACAATGATGATTACGAAAACGACAATGATGATGCCGCTGCGGCCGAGTGTAATGATTTTGGTGATGATGATGATGTTGATGCTGATGGTGATGATGATGCTGATGATGATGCCGATGATGATGATGATGATGATGATGATGATGATGATGATGATGATGATGATGATGATGATGATGATGATGATGATAACGACGAAGACGTCGATGCTGATGCCGCTGATGCTTATGATGACGCTACGACTGATGATAATGAGGATGATGATGATGCTGATGACGCTGATTATGATGAGAAGTATGATGATGCTGCTGTTGATGATGATTATGACGAGCATGACGAGTATAATGATCATTGTGATGATGAGGATGATGAGTATGCTGATGCTGCTGATGATGATCTTGCTGCTGATGGTGATGCTGGCAGTGCAGGAATCCAGAGACCCCCAGCAGGTTTACTGTAAGAGAGTCTGTACGTCGACGTTCGGGCTCAACTCATCAAGGCAAGCATCCGAAGAAAAGATCTCGCCATGGTAGCGGAGCCGTGGTCCCGACCCTCCCAGTCTACGGGGTCGGGCTCCGCGGCTCCCGCTCCCGCCAGCGGCGCGGAGAGCCCCAGCAGCCTGGGGCCGGCCGCCGGTGCGGGAGCCGCAGCAGGGCCGGCCGGGCCAAGCTCCGGCGGCGGCGACGAGTGGGAGCTCGTCGAGGTCCATCAAGGCTGGAGGAGAGTGGCGAGGCAGCTACGCAAGCTGTTCAGGCTGAGGAGGACCTGGGCAGCGCTGGGCCAGCACCTGAAGGATTTCACGAAGCTGCGCGCGAACCGCCGCTGAGATGGCGGAGGAGCGCGTGCAGGCTCTAGAGCAGCAGGTGATGGCGCTGGCCCAGGAGCTGCAGAACCGCCAGCAGCGGGATAACGATCTCACGGCCGAGGTGCAGCGGTTCGGCCGTGTGGCCGAGGCTAGACCACGGATGGACGGGCCTGTGCTACAGCCTCGAGCCGAGTCGCTCGTGGACACTCGCACGCTGGGCAAGCCAGATGTGTTCACGGGCGAGGAGCATAAGTGGAACGATTGGAAGGTGATCTTCAAGGCGTACTGTGGCGTTGTGAACGCCGACTTGCTGGCAGGAATGCGACTGGCAGAGAGCGCTGACGAGGCCTCAGTTCAGAACGATGACTTCCTCGAGGAGAATATGAGGCAGGCGTCGCAGCAGCTGTGTTACATCTTGCTCCTCCTCTGCCGGCAGCACCCTCTGACGACGATCGTGAACGCTGGCGAGAATGAGGGCTTCCAGGCTTGGCGCAAGCTGGTCGAGTACTACGAACCGAATGCGAGGTCCCGCATCGCGGGGCAGCTGCTGAACCTCCTGAACTTCTCGTTCACTGGCGATGTCGAGGACCGGCTGGCGCTGTTCGAGCGAGAGCTCCTCAGGTACGAGCAGAGGAGCGGCGAGGCCATCACAGCCTCTATGGGGATCGGCATCGTCCTTCGACAGCTCGAGGAAGGCCCTCTACGCCAGCGCCTCTTGCTCAATGCGACCAGGCTGGTGGAGTGGCAGGACTTCCGACGTGAGGTCACCGACATCCGCCGTGCTCAGAGCGCCATCGCCCCGGTGCCCGTGCCCATGGATCTGAGTGCGTTCATCAAGGGTGACGGCAAGGGCAGGTTCAAGGGCGACGGCAAGGGCAAGAGCAGGTCCAGTTGCAAGGGCAAGAGCAAGGGCGACAGCAAGGGCAAGTCCGAGTCCGACGGCAAGAGCAAGACCGGCAGCAAGTCACAGGGTCAGCAGCTCGGGCCACTCTGCTGGGGCTGCGGCGGTCGCGGCCACACCCAGCGCGAATGCCCGAGCAAGCACAGGGAGACGTTGGCGAGCATGGAGCAGACGCTGGCTCGCATCAACGCCTCCCAGTCGACGAGTACGACTGTGCCATCGGCGGCCAGCTCTATCTCGACGGCTGCGACTACGAGGCTGAGTCCGGTGACGGCGATGTCCGGCACGAGCTCTCGATAGGTCGCAGCACTCTACCTGAACGACGCGGGCGAGCAGGTCAGCTACCCGTTCGCGAACCTCCACTCCCTCCTTATCTACGACCCGGGGCCGGACAAGGCGGACGTGGTCGACTCTGCGACCGGCGCGGCCCTGGACCTGAACATGATCCACGGCAACTCGGATGCGGAGGAGGTCGAGCTCAACGGCATCTTGCGTGTGGGCATCGACTCGTGCGCGGCGGCATCGGTGCTGCCGCGTGGCTCGTGCGCGGACTACCCAGTGCACAAGGGCGGCCAGGCGATTTCGTACAAGACCGCCTCTGGCCATTACGTGAACGACGATGGCGAGAAGATCCTCGTGG